GAATCAAAATCATGGAGCAATACTGTGAGAGCACTTTCATCACAGGCCATAGTTGTTAAAGATGAGGAACCGCCATGACCTTTTTAAGGCCAAATAGAGGATGGATAATAAATGACAATCTTGCCAGCAATGTCAACTGGCTGTGAATGAATTTTTACAGCTCTGCCACCACTCCCAGCCTTACATCCAAACCTACTGCTGCGCTCCAACTTGGGTCCACTGTTAAATGCGCCTTCCCCACCACATCCCCACTCCACCTCTATGTTACATCTTGTACGTCTCACTTGGTGCAGATGCTTACTACTTAATCCTGCTGTCTTCAAGCTTTTTACCCCATGGCCCCTCAGCACATCCACCCATATCTTCCACTACCTCCTCAAAATCATATGCTTCCAATCATGTTATAGCTCACTCTCTTGTATTAGTTATGTCAAAAGCATCACGCATTTGCTGGTTGCAGCATGCACAGGTACCTAGTGGCGTTTGGGGTGGTGTCAGTTTATATCACTAAAACAAAAACAGGTACAATCACTCAACAGGGATTAAAGACAAATAGCCCCGAATATTGGAAATCTGAAATCCAAACAGCAACTTCTGGAAAAGCACAAACAGTTCATCAGCATCTGATAGAAACAGGATATTTTTTGGTGCAATTACCTGGCTTTTCTCTTTTGTTCTATGCCCACAGATCTACTGTGTGTCACTAGGAATTTCTGTTAAGATACATTTATGGGAAAGGTGGATAAGGTCAAGGGAGAGGAAGGGGATAGGTTACAGTGATAGGTTGAAATGAATAGGGATGAGGAAAAGCTCACATGGAAAATAAACACCATCATAGGCCAGAATGGGCAAACAGCCTGTTTCTGTGCTGCAAACTCCATGTAATTCACATCATTCTTCTAATGCTTCCTTATGATTGACAACATACTGATGAAAGTACTTCTATTCCTTTGACACACAGCCGACCCTTAAAGAAAGGTAATCAGCCCATGTGTGAAGAGCATGAAGATGAAAAGATCAACATTTACTGCATCTCTTGCCAAGTTCCCACCTGCTCAATGTGCAAGGTCTTTGGAGTCCACAAGGACTGTGAGGTGGCTCCCCTGCAGAATGTATTTCAACAACAAAAGGTGAGGAATGGTTCAGGAAGCGAAAGGAAGGACAGGCATGGGTCAAGTCATTTAAAATCATTAAAGCTGACAAGTCACATTAACTACTCCTTTAAAATGTACAATCAAAGCACTAGGGTTCATTTTTATGAGGAATGGAATTCAAACACAGAGAAATTATCTTAAACTTGCTTAGAGGTTTGGTTAGACCACATGCATAGCTCTGGCCATGAAATACTGGAATAAAATGATATAAAAGCATGCATCTGATGAGCTAAGTGACCTCATTCTATGTCATAATGAATCCGTAACATGACAGCAAAGAGAAGGGAATTGAGGAAAAGTAGCTAAGGAATGGAATACAATATGACAGGAAATTTGTATGCAGCGTTTGGCTCAAATGGCATGCAAATGTAAACCTGTTGTGATCAACAAGAATAAAGTAGCAATTAGCAATGCCCGGGCAACGAGGGGTTAACATAACCGTGTGCATAAACCCTCTTGACGCTCTGGCTAATTTTAGCACAAGTGTGTCGCAGTGCGACAGCTGGGCTGGGGGGGAAGAGAGGAGGGAATTCTTCAGAGCTATGGTTTCCCACATTTCAGCTTGTCTGCCTGCTTACTTGGAGAAATTTAAGCTGCATTGTACTTTGCAAAACCTGCTTTGCTCTCCTTGAATTGTATGATAGTGCCATCCATAGCTGCACTGCGAATAGCAGATATGATCAGCTTTGTGACCAAAAGCTTCCTCTGTCAGACTGACAAAAATGCTGGTAGAGTTATTTTTGTTTGGTCACTGTAGAAGCACTCGAGCTTGTCCAAACGCAGTCAGTTTCCAGCTGGATTCAATGATCATATCCAGGAAAAGGGACCCTTGTTGGATTTCCCCTCTGCTGAACTGTAGGGCAGACAAACCAAATGTACTGCCACCATGTGGCTGAACTCTGCTAACTCAGGTCTGGCCTGTGGGCGAACAGAGTACCTACCCCTCCAACCCCCAATGGGGAACACAAGAGCTATTTCATTGTCACATTTAGGTTGGAAAGTAGCAATAAGTGTGATGGGGGATGCTAGTAAAAAGCCAGCTTAGAAATGAATGTAGCAACAAAAACAGAAGTTGCTGGAAAAGCTCAGCAGGTCTGGCAGCACCTGTGAAGAAAAAAAATCAGAGTTAATGTTTCGGGTCTGGGGACCCTTCCTTGGAACTGAGGAAGTTTAGGGAAAGCCCAGTTCTGAGGGAGGGTCACTAGACCTGAAACATTAACTCTGATCTTCACAGATGCTACCAGACCTGCTGAGCTTTTCCAGCAACTTCTGTTTTTGTTCCTGATTTACAGCATCCGCAGTTCTTTTGGTTTTTATTTGGAAATGAATGTACTGGCTGTATCAGTCCTCTATACTGAAGTATACTGGATGAGTTGGACCAGTATGTCTCATTCACCAGGGTTACTGGCTTTTCCTTCTAGGGCATAAACTTCTTCTGTCCTGCAGAGAAGAATTGGCTGTTGATTTCACTTCAGGGCTCATTTCAAGAGTGTATTACAATTGTTAAAATGCTATGCCATAACATTTTCAAAATGCTAACTTATCACTTAGTTACTCAGGTTGTACATTATTCTATAAGCAAGAGGCATTTTTGTATCTGAAAGAAAGAGAAACAAGTTTCTTGGTAAATTTTAGTTTGAATAGGATTGGCATTATTTTTGCTTCAACTTGTCTGTCCTTTAATTGCTGTGAGTCCCTGGGCCAGGAAGGACTTGCATTTCTTTAGCAGCTTTCATGATCTAAGAACATTCCAAAGTGTGTTACAGAAATTCCATAATAGTAAAGTGCAGTCACTGTTATATCACAGGAAATACAACAAATAACTTATGCACAGAAAGTTCTCAGAAACTAAAATGTGATAAAGACCAGGTAATATTTTCATTCACGTAAATTAATCAGCAGTAGCTGGATATCAAGGCCAACTATCCTATTGTTCTTCATCGTCAGATTGTTTGAGACAATGGCAGGGCTTCAGTCACATCTGAAGGACAGCACCTCTGACAATGCAGCTCTCCCTCGGTAATGCACCAGAATGTCAGAATAGATTTATTTGCTCAGTTGCCTAGAACAGATTTGAACCCCTAACCTTCTACCTCAGTGAATCAATCTGCTACTCACTGAGTCATGGCCATCACGAGTTAGTCTGTCATAGGTAGCTACTGTTAACTTTTATTGAGTTAGAAGTGACTACATTCACATCCTCGAGAAACGTACTTGATCCTTTCTGCTCTGGGGCCCATACTGGTACTAAGATGTAGCAAAACCTGACCAGCTTTTGCCAATTGCAGAAACGCTTGCAGAATAGAACTGATTTCCTATTTCAGACCCTATTCTACCTGTTACAGGATGGTGAATTATTTAAAACTGTCAGTTCTTCTGACATGTATGTTCTTCTTGTGTTTCCATAGACAAAACTGACTGATGGAATTGCCATGCTTGTGGCTGGCAACGACAGGGTCCAGGTTATTGTCGATCAATTGGAAGAGATGTGCAAAAGCATTGAGGTACGGTATAACTGACAGGAATTCTGAGCAGTGGGTCTCTTAAATAGAATGCCTGCATTCTTCCCTCACATTTGTGGCAACGCCCATCATTCCTAATAACATTTAGTAGAGTTGCTCACATCTCTTCTAAAATAGCTCATGTAAAATAAACCAGTTTTAAAAAATATCCCAAGAATTTTTTGCTTGTGTATTCAGTGTGTAATACAGTTTTTTTTTAAGACTCTTTTTAGAGGGCTGAGTGAATAACACAAAGTTAACAGGATTCTTCACTTAGGAGGAATTAAACTCTAAAAGTTAAAAGACTTCCTAAAATGTACCACTTTGCCTATGCTTTTGGCCACTTGTTTAAATACCATCTTAAATTTTGTGCTTTACCAGCAATCAGTAAAGCACTTTGTGACATTTTACTATGTTAAAGGTGCTAAATATGTGATAGTGTTAACAGTGAGTATGAAAGAATGTATGTAAGGAACTGAATTCCAGCCATAGCAAAGCTACACTGAGACAATTCATTAATTAAAAAGGAAAATAATACTGAATAAGATTAGCTTAGGCACAGAACTAAAAGTTAAAATGAATTGATGACAATAATTTGTTTGAGACTGAGTAATGGAGAAGCATTCCACTACTGGCTTTCTCAATTTGAAAGGTGGCTGTTACAGACTGGTCATTAATTGGATTTTTGCCTTCATCATTAGGAGCAACACTTGTGGTGAAGAAATGGAAACGTAGAAAATACAAGCAGGAGTAGGCCATTCAGCCCTTCGAGCCTGCTCCACCATTCAATATTATCATGGCTGATCGTTCAACTTAGAATCCTTTTCCCATTTTTCCCGACACCCTTTGCTCCCTTAGCCTGAAGAATTATATCTGACTCCTCACTGAAAACATTCAATGATATGGCCTCAACCACTTTCAGTGGCTACGAATTCCATAACCTCACCACTCTCTGGGTGAAGAAATTTCTTCTCATCTTAGTCTTAAATGGCCCACTCAGTATCCTTAAACTGTGACAATTGTCTGCATAAAAAATTCTCACTTCTGGAGAAAATCCTGAGTCTATGCTCCAACACTAGTAACTGATTAATTAGTGGATTCAACGAGGTATTCGCAAACCATGCACAATCTAACCAGAGCTGGCTGTCTCTCAAGTGAAAGAGAAGGCCTGTGTTAACAATTAAGTGAAACTGGTGACATCTGCTGGACAGCATGTACTTTGTAGCATATGCTGAAGGTTTCTTCTTTCCTCAGGAGAACAGCAGACAGCAGAAACACTCGCTCATGGAACAGTTTGACAAGTTATACACTATTCTGGAGCAAAGGAAAGATGACATGCTTCTATCAATTACAAAAGAACAGGAGGACAGAGTAGCATTCATCAAAGATCTGATCAGGCAGCACAAAGAACATCTAGAGGCATCTTCTAAACTGGTAGAAGATGCAATTCAATTCATGGAGGAACCTGGAATTGCTTCCTTTCTCGTGGTAAGAGACATTTACATTTTGTATTGTCTTCCCCAAACAGACTCACATCTGTGATGTTCTGCTCAGTAATGCACGGTTCCATTTATGGACATAGTTATGAGTTGCATATGGATTCTATACCAGCACAAAGCCTATTGCTAAAGTCTGGGCAGTTCATCACACAATATTAGTGGTGGCGTAGGGAGTAGCATTTTCACCTGAGTCTTATTACACTTTATGAACTAAAAATCTACCTCACTGACCCTGGAGTGTGAAGTGCAATTCTAACCTACAACTACTGCCCAAATCCACAGTAAACAACTCCATAGAGTTTTCAATGTTGCAATCTCCCCTCGTCCAGATACGGTTCGGTACCGTACAGAGTCAAACCACTGAAGGTCTTCGGGAAGCTGATGGTACTTAATATTTGTATTTCCATCTTCTCACTCCTGATGCTGCTAAATACCTCCCAAGAAATCTGTTAAACATATAAAATGTCTTTCACAAGACAGGAGAGAGATCAGACGCAAGTCAGAGTATAAGCTGATATTTTGCTCTAAATGCACTATTAGATTTATCACTTACTGTGAAAGATTTCCTTTACATTACAGGATAAAATCTTCAAATATCTAATCAATTTTCTATTCCTTTCCACAGAATGCAAAGAAACTCTTGGAAAAGTAAGTGTTATTTGAGTTTAAATGAACATGTGTCTCATTACATTTTGTTTCTTTAAAAGATAAATTGTTTATTATCCAGCATATATAACTCAATTATCCCTTCCATTTTGGAGATGAAAGTATTGAATCTAATGATCGATTGGATCAACTGAACATTGCCAAGATTTATTTGACCTTTTTTGGATCATGGTTTGTGAGAGTTGTTTGCTCTCCAATACCATGATCAGTGAGTCAAAATAGTAAATGTTAGACAAGCTGATGCACCAGGAAAGGCATCACGACTGAATCTTACCCTGTCCACACCAACATTTGTCTTCCAATGAAAGTCAATAGACCTTGCATTAATATAGAAAAGAAAGATCTTAGAACCATAGGATTGCATTAATATGGCACTGTTCACACCTTTGGTAGGTCCCAAAGTGCATTACAGGCAGTCACCTTTTTATGAAGTGAAATCTTTTGTTTTGCAAGGAAATGCATCAGGTGATGCATGCACAGAAAAATTACACAAACAATGATGTCAATTGATAGGCCATCTACTTTTTCTGGTATCGACATGGACTGGAAGATCTCTTCTGCAGCTGGAATCTTTTATGAATTACTCTACAAATAAATGGCCGAACAATCAACATTAGTACCATTGACATTATCTCTTCCTAGAATATGCAGATAAATACTGGAATGGGATTTGAACTCGTAACTTTCTGGGTTGAAGCAGGCTGGAGGTGCTGGAATGTTACAATTGGTCCAAGCAGTCAACAGTTTAAAATTGGGAGTCCTGGCTGTTCTTTCCCTCTCTGCTAGCCCAGGCTGTGTGCCTGAACATTAAGCTCCTCTCCAATCACAGAACTAGTGGAGGTCAGTTCATAAATTGGAGCTATTTATCTGTATGATTCCAACATTTTGTAGTTATTCTTTATTTTTCATTTTGATCCAAGCAGTTTCAGTTAGCATGGCTATTCAGAGAGAGGGTGTAAGAAATGAAAATACCGCTTCTGTAAATTTTAGGGACAGTTTGGGAGAGGGGAGGGGAGGGTTCTTTACAGTTGGAGCTGTATAAATAGAGATACACACTACTTTAATAGTTGAATGTGAATAATTAACTTTTAACCTCTTGCAATACATCTAATGCAAGCATTAATATTCATGAAAAACCCAAGCTACCAAGTAGTTTGACATCCCTGGAGTCCCGGCCAACATTCCTCTTTCATGGGTGTCAGCTGTCACTCAATTGATAACACTTTCACCTCTAAGTCTCATGATTTAAGCCCAACTCCAGAATCATAAACACATTCCAGTGCAGTACTGTGGGAATGCTGCACTGTCAAGAGGGGCTTAATTCGGTAGTGAACTGAGGCCCTGTCTATGTTCAGGTGGACATAGAAGATCTCATTGCACTATTTTGAAGAAGAGCAGGGGAGATCTCCCTGGTTTCTTTGTCAATATTTATCACTCAGTCAACATCACAGAAACAGATTACCGAGTCATTAGCACATTGCTGTTTATTGGATTTTGCTGAGCAGGGACGCACACTGCATTTCCAACATTCTGACTGTGACTGCATTAAAGCACTTTGAGATATCTGGGGGTGCTCATGAAAAGTATTTTGACAATATGGGTCTGTCTTTCTTTTTAACCAATACCACCAAAAACAAAGATTCTCATCCTTTGTCTATTCAAGATCCTGCACACACGATACAGCTGTACATAAATGCAGACTGATAGAATGATAAGCACAGAAATAGGACATTCTGGCCATTTATCTTTGGACACCCTTTGCATGAGATAAGGCTCTGTATAACTATATATTTATAGAATGATAAAGGACAGGGTGAAGCCATTCAGCACATCAAACCTGCGCCTACTCTTTCTTCAGAATCCTGTAATTTTTTTTCTCTCCTTTTCAAAGAAGTCAAAGTCACAACTGAATCAACTTCTACCATCCAGATCATAACAACCCTCTGCAAAGAAAAAAGGTCTCCTCAATTTCTTTAGTTCTTTCATCGAATTGAAATGCACTGATGATAAAAGGAATTGTGCAGGTTCAGTTTAACATTTACGAACACAAAACGATTCAGCCACTGGAGGAAGCCATACAGCCCTCTGGGCCTGCTCTGACATTCAATAAAGTCACGGCTGATCTCCTACCTCAGCTTCACTTTTTTGCTTAATCATCTTTCCCTTGATTACCTTAGAGCCTAAATACATCTATGTTATTTTCTTTAATTCAAATTTCAGGATCGTTGATGCCTCCAGAACCTCCCACATACCAGAATATGAAGATGGGTTTGAGAACATGGACCAATTTTCAGTGGATCTGGAAATGGCAGAGGAAACCCTGAAGAATATAAGATTTGGAATAGGTATTATCATTGTAATATTGGTATTTGGCAAAAAAATATATATTGTGGCTGAGGACAGTAGTTCAGTACAGTGAACATTCAATCCTGGGGACCTTAGGTGCACTATAACTCAAATGTTATTCAGAATGGACACTGGAATGGGTAACAATTAAATTCTATTGGAAGGAACATAGGAATAGGTGGAGGCCATTCGTACATTGTAACCTGTTCCACTACTCAATTTGATCATGACTAATCTTTATCCTAATTCCTATCTAACTATTCCCATCTAACTAACTAGGAGAGTTAGTGGTATTATTGCTAGTCTGTTCATCCAGAGACCCTGCTAAAGTTCTGTAATTAGGAGTCTAATGATGACTGTGAAACGATAGCCGATTGTCGAAAAAATTGACCTGCCTCACTAATGTCCTTTAGGGAAAGAAACTGCCATCCTTATCTGGTCTGGCCTACACATGACTCCAGACCCTCAGCAATGTGGTTGACTTTAAACTGCCGTCTGGGCTATTAAGATGGGTAATAAATACTGGCCTGGCCAGTGATACTCAGATACTGTGAATTAATATTTAAAAAGATCTTGGATCCTTAAGCGTTAATACAACTAGGCAATGAATTTTGGCAGATTATTGAAATGTGGACAGGCCCTGATGGCTAAGCCCAATCATTTCATGTCTTGGTCTCAACATTTGTCACTGAATAGCAACCAAAGGGCAGGAATTCAGCCTGATTTACCCTCTCTTAGGTCTAGGGGCACTGTGAGCAATGGTTACTCTTCTGTTACTGCCCTTAGTTGTGCTCAGCTAACTCAGTACAGACCTCAGATTGAACCCTGGATCTCACAGAATGATACAGCCCATAAAGATAACCATCATAACATGACTTTGTCATTGGCCTGAGGGATAGTAAGTAAACAATTGTTTTAGTTTTTTTTCTTATGGGATGTTGCCAGTGAAATCAGCATTTGTTGCCCATTCCTAATTGTTCTGGAACTGAGTGGCTTGCTAGGCCATCTCAGAGGGCAATTAAGAATCAGCTGCATTTCTGTAGGTCTGGAGTCACAAGTAGGTTAGATCAGGTAAGGATGGCAGTTTTCCTTTCCTAAGAGATTTTAGTGAACTGGATAGGTCTTAATGACAATCAATGATATTTCATGGTCGCCATTACTGAGACTAGCTTTCAATTTCAGACTTTTTAATTGAATTCAAATTCTACCAGCTGCTGTGGTGGGTTTTCAATCCATGCCATAGCACAATAGCTTGGGGCTATGGATTACTAGTCAATAAACATTACCACTTTGTCACCATCTCCCACTTTAAAAAGGTATTTCTAAGAGATGTAATGCGTTGACAGTTAAACAAAACATTTTCCTCATAGAATTATAGAACAATACAGCACAGAAGCAGGCCTGTTGGTTCATCAAGCTTGTGCTGGCTCTTTGAAAGTGATGTTCAATTAGAATCATTCCTACTTTCCCAGTGAAATTACCAACTGAGATCAGGGTTATTGCCAACAATGTTTTTCTTTTGCTGTCTAACTGATCTGATTTTCAGTCAGAACATAAGCTACGAACGCCGCAGGGCTACTGCACGAATCTTCAATTCAAAACTTAGCTCAATATCTACCCAAGTATGTCTAAATAGTACAAAATACCAATCTTCAAGTGCTACAGTGAGAAAGAGGAGTGACAGATATAAATGTTCTCTCTCTCCAGATGAGGAAGAGATAGAGGAAGAAGTGGAGACTGAGGAAGAGGATGTAGTGGAAGATCAAGCTGATGGTGAGGAAAAACAAAGCTCTCTACTCGGATCAGACTCAGTTGTCTCTCACTGAATTGCTCTGGCACATCTAGCAGGCATGTTGGAAAGAGGCCACCAGAGGTATTGAGTGGAGTGGGATTAACAAGATCATCTTCAGTACAACAAAATATAAAAAGTGGTTACTTAGTGAGCAATATCTCCTGAACAACCTCTCACTTTGTATTTCCATAAACTAGACAGCATCCAAAATTCTGGTGCCTGAGTCCTAACTCTCACTCTAGGGGTGCAATTTTCCCTTGTTCAAAAAAAAAGGAAGTGTGGAGGCAAACATGTTAAGAGACAACTAGCTTTCTCAGTCTATTGCAAGCCTTGACACTGGTCTCTTGGGCTAGTAGAAGCTGCTGGACAGAGGCCCAGCAGTTTCTGAATCTTAAGGACCACTGGTCAAAGTAATTTCCTCAGGGATCCAGCGGGATGAAGTTAAATAAATTTTATCCTGTTCTTGTGGGCCAAGGGTGGCCGGAATGTGGGGCTCAGATGTAAGAGCAGGGAAGTGACTGTCAGAGCCCACTGCTTTGGACCACATCCATGCCCGCTAGATTTCAGTAAATGGAGTACTCCCCATCCCCTCTTCCTCCATCACCTGGCAGGCAGGTCACTCCGGTTTCCCACATGGGAAACTAGCTACCTTTTTTCCTCTGGTGAATTGAGGCCTTCAAATGGTCAATTATTGACAACTTAAAGGCCTTAATTAGTGAGTGGTCAAGAAGGTTATCACGCATTTTCATGCCTAGAACCTAATTAGTCAGGAGGTAAGAAGGCATAGAGTACCTTGTCATAGCCAACTCACCTACTTAGTTCCCCTTCTCCCCACCAATCTCTCATGAGGAGGGAAAGCTGCACCCTAAGTCCTGCTCACCCAGCACTGGTTCAGTCTGAGACAGTGACCAGGGAGAGTGGTGAAGGTGGTGGCTATTTCCAGAAGGGTGAATGTTGACGGCAGCACCCATTCCTTCCTTAATACAGAGCTGGTCAGTCTGATGCAGTGCTTCCTTTTATGGCTTAGCCAGATTTCACCTCACTCAGGCGCAACCAGTATTTATAAGTTAATTGCACATTGAACAACATTGGGTTAAAGGAGAGTTCTTATTTGGTCATCACACAAGTTGGTCTCTGCTCACTTCACCAATCACTGTCAAAATTTCATTACATTGTCAATTGTTCGGTTAAACTCATTGACTGGTCATACTTTTCCCACCTCTGGTTTTATAGACATCCGTTATTGACTGTAGTTTCACCTCTGGAAAGTGCAGATATGTTTTGTGTCATTGTTGACAAATGGCCCTGTCAAGGGATTTTGCAGCTATCTTGTATAAAAATAACAAAAGCTCTCCAGTTCTATGAGATGTGAGACACTGCAGTCACATTGCAAGCCAGGTTTCGGTTTTAACACCCAGTCTAGCAGGCTACAACACAAACTGAGGGCTGGAAAATTGGCAGGGTGCATGTGGGCACAATTTTGGCATATGAGATTTCCCAAACCCACTGGGAACATCATCCACTGCCCATGGTGGGCTTTGAGGGATTGAAGGGGACACTGTTTATGATGTTTTGACATTGGCAGCCACTGGGGTTGCATTTCAGCTGGCAACCCAACACTCTGATGTGCAGGTGACGGTGTTGGATTGGGGTGGACAAAGTCAGAAGTCACACAATGCCAGGTTATACTCCGACAGGTTTATTTGAAATCACAAGCTTCACTGGACGAAGGAGCAGCACTCTGAAAGCTTGTGATTTCAAATAAACCTGTTGGACCATAACCTGGTGTGTGATTTCTGAACCTGAAACTCAGCAATGGTTGGGACTTCCAGCAGAGAGAGAGATGAGGGATGCTGCAAGGGTTATGAGAGATTCCGAGCAAGGGAAATAGCATAGTGATAATGTTTGTTTCATGTTCTAATCTACAGACCAGCAGTGATGCCGTTGTGGTGGTGACGTGGAATGTCTTTTGTGAATTCTTGGGATTATCCCACTCCTCCTGACTCACAGACAGCTGAGGAAGAAGTCCAACTTGTTCAACAATTTTCTTTTTGTTCATAAAAATGTCTTTTAAAAAATCAAAAAAAATGTTTTTATATGGTGCAAAATTAATGGTTTTGTACATTTTATATCTTATTTTTGTATATAATACAATGGAGTGATAATTCATTGTATTTTTTTTAAACAATGAGATTTAGCATTCAGCATAGCTTAAGTCCACCATCTGCATTATGTCTGCTATTCCATTAGATTTTTAGTTGAATCACTACATTGCAGTAATCCCCAGTTAGTGATGGGCAAAGGTCTGGAACCAGACGCTTTGCTAAGTCACTAGTTCATGGACTTTTTTGCTTGTAAATCCCCTTTTCAAATGGTTTCAGTCATCACAGACCCCTTCATCCTATCTGAATTCTAACAATACAAGCTTCTTTCATTTTGGCATTTCTGAAAGTAAAATTCATTCGTATCCCCATTAAAGGGCTTTGCGGCTTTTCTCTAGTTCTGACTTAAAGCCCAGTTGCATCACTGATTGATTGTCTTTCTAGATCCTCTGGACAAGGTTGATGCAGCAACTCCTTCATACCCTTCCCTGAGCTTCAGACCCAGGAATCCATTCCTGGTCTCTCCATTATCTCTTACCTGCACTGCTGGGATTTTCAGTCTGTCCAAAGCCCTGCTAATCCTATTACTGTGGGTGAACTCTCAGATGTGTCCCTCCAGAAGATCCAAAGAAATCAAAATAATAACCAACAGTGTATGCCTGGCTCACATCATCACAGCAATAGATTCCATTTACCTTCTTTCCCACAGTACCTGAAATGTCTTTATCAAATCCCTGGGACCCCAGTTTGAGAACCACAGCCCTCAGTATCACTAAATGAAAACTGAATGCATTAAAGGTGGCAAATGTAGAGCAAAGAAAAAAGAAAATATTCAAATTATCAGATCATTCTAAAAAAATAAAATGAATTAACGCTGGAGACTTGAAATAAGAAATAGAAAATGGTGCAAGTAGGCAGCAAGTCAATTACTATTTTGAAGAACAGATTTTTAGTCGTAGCAGATTCCTGAGATGTCAGTTTAAAAGCTCCATTATGATGGTCACTTCATTTTCATGCCTGTATGTTGTTTGAAATTATTCCATATCAATAAACTTATCTCTATACGACCTTCTCTGGTTTACCTCAATTTCTTGGGATATTTTTAGCTGTTTTCTTTTTCAGTGCTTCCCACTCTTCTGATCAAACTGGTTTGTGATGAAGTAAAAAATTCCCAGGCAAAATTTGCAATCTCCTTTGATCAATTTATTGATCTTCCATATTATCATGTTCAGTACTAGACATATCACCATAGGAAGATCGGAATGGCCTCAAACATCAACCACCAGAATGATAAAAGAAAAATCAAAATTTGCTGAAAAAAATCAGCAGGTCTGCCTGCATCTGTGGAGAGAAAGATGAGTTAACATTTTAAGTCTAGTGATCCTTCTTCAGAAACAATACCAGAATGATAGCTTGTCTTAAGGAGTTAACTTATGAAGATATTTTATGTAGATGGTAAGAAGTTACTTCTACTGCCTGGAGTCTAGAAAACATATGCTTGTAGTCTCAGGATGAAGGATTGACCACATATGATGGAGAGGAGGGGAATGGCTTCACTCAGAGAATCCTTGGAGTCCCCATCGCAGAGGGGTATGGATCAATCACTGATCAATTTAGTCATTGATTATTTTATGTAAAGTAATCAATAGATTTTGAACACATAGGGAACCTAGAGATATGGGAATTAGATGGGAATTGCAGTTGGGGTAGATAATTAATGCTGGAACAAGGTTGACTAGCTGAAGGCCTAATCCTGTTTCTATGTTCCATGTTCCTGGCAGTGCAGGCTTCAGAGATGAATTTAATCATTTTGCCAGCCACCAAAATGGTTGACCAGCAAATAGCAAGAAAGGTTCAGAGAGAAATTGATCAACTCAGGACAGGTTTGGAAGGTCAGCTAAGAAAATAAGAAAGCATGGAAATGATACAGAAAGAACTCACAATATGCTAGAAGTGAGAAAAGGCCACTAGAAAAAAAAATAAAACACTTGCATTTAAATAGCACCTTTCATGACCACAAAACATCTCAAAGCACTTTATGGCCAATGAAATAGTTTTGAAGTGTAGTCACTGTTGAACTGTAGACATGTTGCAGCCAATTCACACAGAACAAACTCCCACAAACAGTAATCTGATAATGACCAGATAATCTGTTGAAAAAAACATTGCCTGACTTCTCAGATGATTCCCCAACATTTCTTGCCGTAGCCCACGTCATTCAAGCTTCTATAAGATTTTACATAATAAGTGGTAAGGGAGCAAAACTACTTTAAGAGATCTAGTCATAGTCATTGAGTCATAGAGTAATACAGCATGGAAACAGGCCCTTCAGCCCAAATTGGTCCATGCTAACCATGGTGCCCATTCAGCTCGTTCCAATTGTCTGCATTTGGTCCATATTGCTCTAAACCCTTCTCATCCATGTACCTATCCAAATGTTGTTTTAAATGTTGCTATTGTACTATTTGTCACACAGAAATTTCTCAAGAACTATTCCATTAACTTAACAATTCCAATAAACCACATGGGAACAAAGAAAACAGAAACTGCTGGTGAAACTCAGCAGGGCTGGCAGCATCTGTGGGGAGAAAATAAAGTTAACATTTTGAGTCTGGTGACTACTCATCAGAGCTGACAGCAGCAAGGAAAACATGGTAATTATACTGAAGGTGGGGTTGGGACAGAGTGGGGAGAGGTGAGCAGATAGATGGAGATGGATCCCAGAGAAACAGAGACAGATATGTATATGAAAGGGGTGGGCAAATGAGAGGATTATTGATAGTAAGCCAATACAGAAGAGAATTTGAATAAATAGATAAAAACCGAAAGAACTATGGATGCTGTAAATCAGGAACAAAAACAAAATTGCTGGAAAAGCTCAGCAGGTCTGGCACCATTGTTGAAGGAAAAAACAGAGTTAACGTTTTGGGTCCGGTGACCCTTCCTCAGAATAAATAGATAATGAGAGCAGAGAGTAGTTGAGAATAGAAAGGCTATGCTGAAAGCAATCCATGTCATGACAGGACTGAGTGTGGATGTAGGTGAAATAACAGGAAGACAGACTCATTCTCTAAAGTTATTGAACTCAATGTTGAGTTCTAGAGGCTGCAGGGACTCCAAGCAGAGGATGAGATGCTGTTCTTTGAGCTTGGACTGAGGCTAGCTAGAATACTGCTGCAGGCCTGTGTCAGAAGTGTTGCACCACAGTGTTCCCATGCGAACATTTCAGTCACTGTCAAAGCTCAAAGAACAACATCTCACTTTCCCTCATCTGCCACCCCTTTCATATATTTCTCCCTGGGCTTTGACTCCACCTGTCTGCTCATCTCTCCCCCATCCCCCACTACCCAAACTCATCTTCAGCAGAAATACCACTTTCTCTGAGCTGCTCAGTTCTGATGAAGAGTCAACCAGACTCAAAACGTTAACTGTTTTCTTCCCAGGGATGCTGCCAGATCTGCTGAGCCTTGCCAGCAATTTCTGGTTTGTTTCAGATCTTCAGCATCCATACTGTGAGAAGAAAAAGAAACAATTTAAAGCTCTAACAGATGAAGTTAAGTGTTGGTTATGAATCGCTAGTCTATCAGTAACTTCACTCCTATTCAACAGCATGCATTTATATGGTACCTTACCAAAGTGAAAATATTCCAAAATTCACAGGAGAAATATCAAACAAAATTTTGTATCAATCAAGGTAAGAGATTTTAGAGCACATGACTGAGAAACTTTGTCAAAGAGGTTAGTTTTCAGGGTCTTCTTAAAGGGATGGGTCAGCGCACATTTCAGAAATAAAATCTCAGATCATAAGTAGCTGAATTTGCTGCAATGTAAATGCAAAAGACAGGTTTTCATTGGATAAATTGCACGACTGAGCAGATCTGGTAGAATAGTTTCTGTTTTTGTCTTTCTCCCAGTGATGTCAGGCACATTCTTTCACAAGGAGTGGTCATATAAAACTAATAGAAATTGGGTGGTACCTTTGCAAACACTGCATGCTGAGCAGTTAATACTTACAACGCTTGAGACTGTATTTCATAATGAAGAGTCCTTTCAACTTTAGTGCTGTGTGGATTATATGGCCATGGTCAATAGGGAAAACATCTAAAGACCTCTGTGTAATTCTCAGTTCACGGAACTTACTAGTTGAAATGAACAGCATATCCACATTGAAGGGGAAGCTAGATAAGTACGAGGGAGAAAATGAAGAACAGAATGATATGTTGATAGGTGAAATGATCTAGAGTGGGAGAAAGCTCGTGTGAAAATAAATACTGTCACTGGCCATTTAGGATATATGGCTTGTTGGTGTTGCCAATTCAAAACATTGTTGCCTCAGTTCATTTACTACTGGAACTCTCATCTATGCCTTTGTTATCTCTAGATTTGAGTAATAAAATGCCTACTTTGCCAGTTTTCCATCTCTAATGGTTAATACAATTCAAATTTGAGTTTGTCCAAAACTGTTTCCATGTCTTAATTGCTCCAAGTAGAGAACAGTTTTTACCGATCTGGTTGTCCTTAGTTGAAAATTTTCACCTTGTTTTTGTATCCCTTCAGGGGCCTCATCCATTCCCATTTTTGAACCTTTGGAATTCCTTACTCTAGAATGTGGTGGAAGCTGAATCATTGAGATTAAGGTAGACATCGATAGGTTTTCAGGTATTAAAGAAATTAAGGAATATGGGTTAATGCAGGAAAATGGCATTGAGGTAGATGATCAGCTATGATCTAGTTGACTGTCAAAGTAGGCTTGAGAGCTTAATGACATACTCTTGTTCTTACTTCCTACATTCCTTTCACTGTAACTCCCTCCAGCACTACAACTCTTTGAGATTTATATTACACTAGTAACTAGACGTCAAAACATTCTCATTGTCTATACATGTAAAGCGTATTCAGATGGCCGGAGGTCATGAAAAGGTCACAATACAAATATAAATCTTTTCAAGGTCTCTATCTATGACATCCCCCCAATTCTGACTGTAGCCCATACATGATTTTAAGTAAACAAGGTATAGAGCTGGATAAAACAGCAGGCCAAGCAGCATCAGAGGAGAGGAAAGCTGATGTTTCAGGCCTAGACCCTTCTTCAGAAATGGGTCTAGGCCAGAAACGTCAAGCTTTCCTGCTCCTCTGATGCTGCTTGTCCTGCTGTGTTCATCCAGCACTACACCTTGTTATCTCAGATTCTCCAGCATCTGCAGTTCCTACTATCCCTGATTTTAAGTACTTCATCCCAGTGGATGGGTCCTCTGTTATCTAGGTATTTTGTAAACCTGTTCATCTCTCTGAATCTTCTTTTCAGATACACCTTAAAATTTAGCAGACTTTTGATCAGCTTTAGTAATATAGAATTACAGGACAATTACATCATATCACAAGAATATTCAACCCGTTGTGGCAGTGCTAGCTCCATGAAGGAGCATTTCGCCAAGTTCCACTCCCTGGCCATCTTCCTGCAAGCTTGCAAAATTTTTCTTTTTCAGCCAATGATCTCAATTGATCCTGGCTCCACCGTAGTCACAGACAGTGCATTCCAGAGTGTAAACATTTACTCCATGAAAACGTATTTCCTCTTGTCACCATTGTTCCTTTTGTGATTTAACTTAAATCTGATTGGTGTAGTTCTCAATGGTGTCTCCCAATCTACTTTATCCAGACCTCTTGTGACATTGAATGTCTATCAAATCTCCTCTCAGGCCTCTCTTCAAGGAGAACAGTTCCAATTGTATATCGTCTTAATGTGTCTCTTTGTCGAATGTTGTTTAATAATGTCACAGGAACATGTCAATTAGGAGGAGTCGGCAATTCAGTCACTTTTCATCTGCTGCCCCATTTAATAAGAACATGGCTGATCTGCTTATGATCATATTCATATTCCTGCCAACCACAATGCCCTATGACTTGCTTGTTAGCCAAGAATCTATTGACTTCTGCCTTAAAAATATTCAAAGACCTTGCTGCCACCTCTCCTGAAGGAAGAGAGTTCCAAAGACTCAAGAACCTCTTCATCTTAAATATGAGACCTTTTATCTTTA